TCAACTGATTCTAGTGCTACTGGTGCCAAAGGAGATAATTTGTTCATGTTATATTGAACATAAGACCATCTTCCCTCAGTGACTGGTTTAGAACACTGTAGGTTCCTTAGAAAACAGGACACTTATGGAACAATTTTGCATAAAATTACTGTAGAATTAATGGGAGAGTGAATGAAACATGTGACCAAAGATTGTAGATAACTGTTTATAGTGCTAGTGTGTAAAATCATGTTAATTATAATCTTATCTTTTAGACTTAACTTGTAAGGAAACAAATTAATTGAGTGATCTATTGCGGATTTTCATTAAAATAAGTCTCAGCAGTTACCAGCAGCTTTTCTGTTTTTTTCTTGAGATAGTTCTTTCATTACCAAAATAAATTCAACATTAAAAATAGACAGAGAACCATTAGGTATGTTAAGTTTATTTATTGCCATGTAATTTAATTATTTAGTTTAAATCAAGATTATTGATCAGTTGAAAATCCTTTAATTGATTAACGGGCTTTATATGAAGAAGAATGTGCTGAGTGTGCTCGACTGTGGCTATTTTGTGGTGCTGATAGCCTTCTATTATAGGGCTAAAAAGCGCTTGGCATTTGGTCCCTAAGAGACCAATCAAAAGAAAATGCATTTTCTTTATTATATTGTATGATTTAAATTTGTTCCATGTTTTTCAATTTAACATAATCTACAGACTTTAGCCTCAAATGATACTGAACAATATCTGTTGCAAATACACACAAACAAATGAATTGTGTGAAACATGGGAGCAAGGGGTGTAAGCAGGGCATGGGTTGACCTGGGGAAAAAAAAAGCTGTGTCACCAGGATAATTGAAATGATAAACTGCAAAGTAAGAGGATTCAGGCAAAATCTAGTAGCATCAGACAATGATAAAAGATGCTACAAATACTTCATTAAATCTCAGTATTGTTTTGCAAAGCAAGTATATTATCATTAATTTTACAAAAATATTACATTATTTACTGAGATATGATAGACTGTAGGTCTTGAATTATTAAAATCAGCTATAGTCTCCCAAGTGAAGCATGATGCATTCTAAGGAATTATGGTTCACTCAGTCTCTGATAGCTCTCAAATTTCCTAAACCTTTTGTAAGTCTTTGGGATATTAGTGAGCACTTGCTATATTAAAATGCACCTCCAGAGGATCTTCAAACAGCAGTACGAACACTTGGTTGTGCAATTTTCTTCCAAGATAAGCCGACCTTTTTTTCTTACAGCATTTTCAGCAAGAGATGCTCATTTGACTGAAAATGCTTATCAGCTGTAAAGTAGAACTAAATTTGACGCTCACCAAAACAGAGTTGTGTTGCAAAAGCTTGTGTTTTAAGCCAGCACGCTGTCCAAAATAAAAAATTAAATAAGTTTTAATAGAGAGTACATTAGATCACTTGTTTTCCATAGCAATTTACTTGAAGTAAATTGAGTGGTTTACTTTCAGTAATGTTGGACAAAGATATAAATAGAAATTCATTAGTTACTTCTAATGGATATGTGAAGTGCTGCTTTCATGCTGTTTGAAGACTTTAAATTGACATCTTTACTTTGATAGAGCCCTCTGTAAAATGTAGCTTTAAACATTTAACATTCTTGAAACAGTAGCTTTAATTTTAATAAATATTTTTTTCTTCATCTTGTTAATAAAGACCATATTGCCAGCAGGGAGAAAGTAACTGACAATGCACATAGAGACGGGAATTGGTTCAATTCCAAACGCAGGCAGTTGTACAAAGTAAATTGAAAAAAGGAGAGAGAGAAATTTTTCATTACTCTTCAGTAGATGGTAATTTTACATGTTATGGGCAACTGCAGCCAACTGCAATTTTCAGAATGAGCTATGACTTTTTTTCTTTTGGCTTGTTGAGAGAACCTTTCAAACCCACCAGGAATGTTACTTGGGTTAGTATTTTTTTTTAATTGCAGTCAGTAAAAAAATAAATAAATAGTGAAGATAAAAGAGGTGAAGCATAATTATTTCTACCTCATTCCATCAGGAGAATATCAGCCAGTCTTCTTCTTTAGGGATGCCAATTCCCTTCTGGGGACAGCTCAGTAGCTCTTGTCTGACTGCTATGACCAGTTTATGTAGCACTTTGCAGACTAGTGCTGAGGTTTGCCAAAGTCTTGACTCTCCATGGATGGAGTCTGATGTGGTGACTGGACAATGTCTGGTCATGTTATCTGGGATTCCCTTTGACCTGTATGCAGAGAATAGGGTGCCCTCTAGAATGACCTCTGTCACCTTGGGCTGGACCTATACCTTTCCTGAAGGGGACTTGACTAGCTGGATCCAGGAGGCTGTCATGGCTTGCTTCAGGAGAGGATGGTGTGACTAGCTGTGAAAGAGGCGTTCAATATCATTGAGTCTGATATCCTTCTAGTCTGCAAGAACTGGAATTTGAAGAAAGTAGTTTACAGTACAACTGAAGGGTTTTCAGTAGACCCTTCCTGGAGCAGGGTTCTGAGGGAGGAGAGGCTGACCTGGAGACCCTTCCTTTGTAGATTTCCTCAGGATTTGGTTCTGTCACCCCACTTTTTAACTTTACATGAAGCCACTACAATTCAGGTCCAGTCATGGGACAGAAATGGCATTGGTTACTCTGTTTGGTGACCTTTACCAGGACTTAAATGGGAAGAATGCACCTTCTTGGTCCTATTAACACCCTTTAAGGGATTCAATAACATCAGGTATGGTATCCTGAAGATTGTTCAATAGCAGTAGTTATGGGTTGAGAATACTGTTTTGCAGTGGTTCTGTTCCTATGTGAATGGATAGGTTCAGTCAGTAGTCATGATCACCTTGTGTTTGGGTCACTCCAGTGCACTCTATCTGAGACTGTCTTTAAAGAGAACCCGGAAGTTACAATTGGTCCAGGACACAGTGGTGTGAGGTGCTGAAAGGCAACTCTGCCATTGCAGGATAAACATTGGTTTTGAGTATTTTGGGACCAGTATGAAACAAATTGCATCTGTCCGTCTGTCCATCCATCTATCACATAGTAGCCCTACAGATAATTGCAATGAATTCAGTTTTCATGTTATCAAAATGAGTGTATCTATAGCTCTCTGACTAAGAGTCAGACTTTACTGATCTACTTTGGCTGTGGTAATGGCAGTTGTAGTCCAGTATATCAGGAGGTAGGAAAGTTGGAGAAGTCTTTTTTGGCTCAGTTGGCATCATTTAAGTGGGGGAGGCAGTGCATGCTATTTCCCGCTGGGAAAATTACCTAGCAGTTACCTAGCAACCTCACTGGGGAAAAAAAAAGGTCACCAAGGTCTAGCTCTAATACTATATAGTTAAAATATATCAAAAGGCTTTAATTTTAGGCAGCATGCTGGACCTTTAGCCTTCCATTCTCGCTCTGTTCTTTCTGCAGTTGTAGAAATTCCTGGGTTCTCATTGGAGCAGCTGATTTACATAATCACTATACTACTGTTTCCTAATAAAGATGAAAAATGCAGATCTTGTCCTAGTAGGCTAATCATGGTTGGCACCCAGTGCGGATGCAGATTCCCTATACTAATTTAAGACATTATGCAGAAATCATACAGTGGTTAGTCATATTACTCAGAATATTGCAACTCTTGTATCCTAATTGGCTTTTACATTTAAAGTTCATAACTGACCATTAAAATAAAATTGTGGTATCTTTTTTGCAGAAAGCACTCAAATTCCAAACTGTGCAGAAGGAAAGAAAATATGAAAATGATACCCAGAAGCTTTGAAATAATGCTTCACATTTGAAATGGTTCAATGACTTGTTTTCATTGCCTTTCTTCACTTGGGATTAATTTTTCTTCCATAGGAGGTTGAAATTTTCTAAATGTTTTTGTAATTTAGAATCCTTTTAGTCCCAAGGGAAGGAAAGAGATTGCAATATTAATTTTCTTATTTCATATAATGTATATGTATATCTTCCCATACTGCTTAAAATAGCTCCCAACATAACAAAAATGTTCAACTGTACATATAGTATGTTTCATTTCGAATAATATATACATTAGTAGAATTCTTCTCTTCCTGCCATTTAAGTGGGCATGTTTTGGAAAGGTTTATGCTTTCACCTCAGTGGATAAATGAGGATGAAACTGTCTAAGTAGTTTCAACTGTACAAATAATTTAAAGAGGGGCTTTACAATACACTGGAATGCCTAAGAAGCACCTCTCTTCACACTGTAGAAGCTCTTTTTCCAGGCCCACATAACTGCTTCCAGCTGATTCTGCATGTGTCTTTTCACACAGCCGTTTGGCATGTGTGTGTGCACACAGCCACTTGGCTTCATGTTTACCCAGTATCTAGGAAATGGTGCAGCTGCTTTAATGATTCAAAGAGAAGTGCTTTTTATGTAATGCATTTTGCAAAAAAACCCACCACCTCTTTTAAAGGATTTGCACAGCTTTGTTAATTATTCATCTAAACATCTTAATATGAACGTTTCATTTTGGATAAAAATAGCTACAAACTCTCATTAGAAATGTGACCTGCACGATCCTTTCTTCCTTCTGAGCCTTCCTTCCTTCTAAAAAACTTTTGTCTGCTGCTCCTCCACTTCTCTTTTTTAAACAAAACCTTGAAAGTAATTTGTTGTAAGTCCTTCTGGGCCAGTACCAACTACTTGATAGACAATTTTTGGTAGAAAACTAGTGATGCAACCCTCCTTTGTAGATAATATAAATAGGTGATAAAATCTCTCTTCGCTCTCTTCTTGAATTTTCTGAAGTAGGAAGGATTCAGATTGATTGATTAATATAGATATGAAGAAGCTGAAGCATGGAAAGAGAAAAGGGACTTGGAAACATGGTTATTATTTAATGGGTATGTGTTTTTCAATGACTGTGTTCAATACTGAAGTAATATTGCTAATTATTTGAGCTTGATTTGGGATAGGTATGTTAGTTAGGTAGTGATAACTTCTGCTGTCTGATTTTGGTCTTCCCTATGTTATTTTAATATCTGATTTGATTTTTTTTTCAGGCCTGCTATGGATGAAATAGCAACGGAACCTTTAAAATATGCAGAACAACTTCCAGTAGCGCAAATAATACACCAGGTATCATTTTGTTTATTGATATGCCTCTCAAGAATAAGTCAAGCTTCAGTCTTGTAAATAAAATGCTTATATTTACAAATTGTATGGAAGTAGGGATTGCCATTTAGGAAGTGCCACTATTCAGAGTACCGAAAAGAAAAAAAAAAATCTTGAATGTCACAAGAATAGTTACAATGTCCATGCTACACTTTCCCTTCTTAAGCACCAAAGGAAACCTATAGCTAATTGATTTCAGTTGTTTAATAAAGACATATTTGTGATACAAAGTAGAGTAAGCAAGAGTTTAGGTCTGTGAAAGAATGCAGATCTGGCCTTCGTAAAGGTGAAGAGGGCAATGAAACATTAAGGGAAGAGAAATGGTAACTCAGTCCTAAGAAAGTGGAGAGCATGAGAAAGAAACTCAAAATAACCCCACCTTGATTTTGTTTGATATAAGATGGGACAGAGAGAAACTCTGACAGGTTTTCAAAATTCTGTTATAATGGCCTACAAATATAAGGAACATTTGTGGAATCTCTGCTGCTTCTGTTTCTTGACCTTGCCTATCTCAAAGGGCTAGGAGGGCACACTTCAGCAGGCATGAGAAACACAACACATACTCTTAATAGGCACATACTCCTGACTGCCTCTTTAATGGTGCTGTATTCTCTGCGTATTTAGATTAGCAACCAAGTCAAATGAAGGACGGTCTCAGGATCATCTTCATTTTGGTCAAACACCAGCATAAAAAACAGAAACAATCAAACAATAGAATCATCAAGAAAACAATTTTGATGATTTTCTATGCATGGGCGTATAGTATGCTAACATACTATTATTAACACTAAGCTAAAAAGACCTAAAACCTGAACTAAGATAATAACTTGAAAACTACAATGGAGACAGAATTAGCTATGCTTGTTTCATGCTTATTTGGCTTGCCTGTTTTGCTAATGTACCATTTGTTTCTTTAATTTTAATTTTAGTTACAAAGAAAGATTCCCAACTTATGTTTTAAACCAAATCGCAGCAAGTACTGTTGAAAAATGGATGCATTTATGCTTAAAATATTTATTGTCCTTTATCAGAATGGAACCTTGAGCAACAAAAATTATTTAGAGCCTGTATAATACAATAGAATTAAACTAGTATCAGAGCATCACCATAAAATATAGTGCATAAAAGTTACAAGGCTGACTGATGAATTATACAAATTAAAATCACTGCTTAAACAGAAACATAATCTGAGCACATGGTACAAGAATTCATATTTAAGGGAGGCATTCGAGAGACAGAGCTTTAGACTCAAAACCTTGAGCTCAACTATTTGAGAAAAGTATTGGAAAAACCTAGAATAATACTAATTAATTATTAATTAGTATTATTCTAAATTTTTCCAATACTTTGGTCAACTTCTGGCCAATCCAAGCCATGACATTATTAAACAACAATAAAGTTAAAGCAAATATTCCAACAGATCTACAGAAAGATCAATGCCAGGAACATCAGCAGGGGGCAGTAAAAAAAAAAAAAACCTGGCTGGTGACCGTGCAATTGCAGCCTTACTCCTTTTTGTGTGTATTGTACAAAACATGTACAATCACAATTGTCCCTGCCATCTTGACTTTTTAGCACCCCCCGCCCCGACACACCTGGTCACTGTTCAAGCAATATATGTCTATCTGTACTTGGCCACATCTAATAAAAATTGAAGAATCTTTAAAATAATTCTAACTAAAATGCAAGTAACTTGAGCATTTCCAGGCTCCTTTCAGCACAATTGTTACCAGGAGTTTATGTGTAACTGTTCTATTCCAGCTTTGATCACATTTAATTGATGGCAAGCTAGCCAGATGCTGTCATCTAAATGACCCATTATCTACAACTGCTGTGGCCTTCAGATGCAGTTGCCTTTGAATAAGGACAGACCAAGAGGACAAGTGAAAGTTTGCTAAACGGCAAAATTGCTGAGAATATCCCCTGGATATTAATTATTCTTAAGTCTTTTTCCAGGTATCTTTCAGTCAAAGTCACCTCCCACAATTGAATTTGCTTGCTGGAGGCAATGGTAGCTTTAGCTGAAAAGAAACATAGGGTTTATTTTAAAACTTTCAACTGTACAGGCCTTTCCTGCAAGATGTCAGACCCAACGGAAATTTAAAACTTTAGGTCGAATCGGGCACCTCCGGGAAGAATATCTGATGTGTTTTGAACATGGGAGATTAGAAATCAGGACCAGTTTGTATGTCAGGATTTCCCTTGGTGCTGTCAGAGCTTCAAATGACCCAGCAGCCTGCAGATGTCACATTTCAGATTCTTTCTTCATGCCTGACTCTAAGCATAAATGAATTAAACAGCAGAGTAGGCAGTAAGTCAATATGTTCTTAACAGTGCAAGTGAGCAATGAAACAGTTGAGGATTGTTTGGAATAGGTAAATAGGAGCTGCACCAAATGGTTCACCTAAAGGAATAACTATGATAGGAAACAGAATTAACCTTTAAGATGGTTGACCAGATGAAATGTCACAGTAATATTTTTACAGCACAAGAAAGTAATATAACTCTGGTGGGTTCATTTTGGCAGCTTTGTGCCATTTTGCAGAGGATTGCATTGCTGAACAAAATGAGGAATGTGTTTTTTCATGCATTTCAGCTATTTCAAAGAGCAGACATTCATGTTATATAATTCTTTGGCAAAACACCCTACCAGAGCAATTACTTGACTGTTCTGGCCCTTTCTAGTATTGCATTATGGCCTTTTTGAGTGTCCCACTTTCATGTCAGATTTTGGACATCAACTCTGAATAAGAAAAAGCAGAGTTTTCACTTTAGACCAGTGTTTCTCAAGTTTAGCAACCGTAAGATATGTGGACTTCAACTCCCAGAATTCCTCAGCCAGCCATGAAATTCTAAATTTCAAACTACTACTGTACAATTAAAACTGACACAGGAGCAGCAAATTAAAGAGTTCTGAAATAGTACATAGTTTTAATAGACATATTACGTTCAGATTTTGGTGACAACTACAGATATACTTTGTTTAGGAAAAAGTGTTCTGATTAAGTGGTTCACGGATGGTTTTTCTGCCCCATTAAAGTAGGAATTCCTGGCAGACTTCAATGGTGTATGCTTAGCTTAATTCTGAAGCTAGAATAATGGCAGTCTTGGTAAGAGGTTGCCATCTAGTGGATTCTGTAGGTGGTGCCTCTTGATTGAATTATGGACTGCGTCCTTCAAGGAAATGATGGAATCATATGGTCTTACTGGAGAGTAGTTCTCACATAGGCACTGCAAGATCATTGGACTGTGTTCTTCCATACTGTCAGGTGGTAAAAGGATGTGTAGGAATTGGAGCTGAATGAAAATTGTCCCTTTGGATACGGGGAACTGGTGAGCCCAATGAAAGTGGGTGTGTTGGACAACAGGGAGGGTAACTGCACAATTACCACCCCTCAAACCTGCTGTTCTCAATATATGTCTAATGTGATATTGATAATCACTAATGGTTTAAAGTGATTGAATGAGAAGATGGAAATAAGGAGTTAATTGATTAAACAGAATATAAAAGAGAAACTGTAGAGAATTAGAAGTGTCTTCTGTACAGATCTTTTCATATTTGAGAGGATACAGATATCATTAAAAGTGGAGATGATTAAATATGCAGCATGAGAAGCACTGTTTGGACTGGGGCACTTGTGGATGGGTGTTTGTTTATTGCTGTTTATTGATTAAACTTAACCCTTTCCAAGCTGTTCTTCCAGAGAAATGACATGTGGTATCTTAGAAAGATTAAACCCACATTTTCCAGAGTTGTTTTGACTTGTATATTCAAATCCCATTTCTCTTGTTGATGTTAATAGCATTTCTGTTTCATATTTTGAATTCTCTTCTTCTTGATATTTTTTCTTCTGCTACTTATGTATCATAACTTTTCTGTTAGAATTTGGTTGATTTTCCCCCCTACTTTTTATTTCTGATCTTCCATTGCATTTTTAAGTGTCATATCCTTTACCTATGCTAACTATTGTTACCTGTGTAATGTGTTTTAGGTTGTGGTTCTATTCATGGTGTTTTCTTCTGCTCAGTGGTAAAATATGAAGATCATGGTAGCGACAAAATCATTATCAGCACTGTTGTTTTTCTTTGTATTATTGTTATTAATGCCCTGGTTAACAACAATCATAGATGGTATGGTGTATTTATTAGGATTATCAACCCAGCCCAAGTTTTTCTACTTATGGGAAGAATATACCAAGTATGAAAACAAAGACTTTAGATGTTACACATATCGCAGACAAGGCAGTATATAATTCTTCACTTTTCTGGCATTAACACATCCATGTTTAGAATACCAAAATCTTGGAAATGATTTTTATTTTGAGTACCAAAATCTTCCATGCTATTTCTTCAGCAACAGCAATAAATCAAGTCATTTTAGCACAATACAAACTGATTATTAACGTATAGCACTTGAGTTGCTTAAAGGTAAGGCAACATTTAATCTAATTCAGAAATCCTTTAGTGAGTTTTTTCTTGCAGTGTTCAAATAACAAGCCTCTTCAGAATTGGGTAAGTGATTTGAACATAAGGGTTGAAGGCTGACAGAATTCTGCTTGACAAATGCTGTTATATTTATTTTGAACAATGCCAACCTACGTTGAGCAACTTTAAAAAAAAATTCTTGTAAACTTCATTTCCAAGATCCATGTCAGATGTTAATATAACTGACATGAATATATAGCAAAACATACAGTTTATATTCCATGCCCTTTATTTCTACAGCTGCTATTCTACCTCTTCAGTACTGATTGGCATTTTTAGAAAATGAAAAGGACAGCCCTTACCAGATCAATTCAGATCCATCCTTGCCTGTCTAATATGTATTCTGCTCTTCTTCCAGTCAGGGTAACATGCTTTTAGATTCCTTACAGAAAAACTAGCTTTGTGAAAACGAACTCAAGCAATGAACATGTTACTTCCTATAAATATAGAAATCTGGGATGGGCGATCTGCATTCCCATTAATTTCCCTATTGATAGTGCAGTTTCTGGTTTGAGGTAGGAAACATATCAAAAACTATAATATAGGGCCTGACACAGTTTTGAAGAAGAAGAAGAAAAGCATAACTTCCTCAACCTTTCCCAGAATTGGAGAACCTCAGCTTACCTGTGTGAATGACACTTCACTGCCTGGTTAATTTCATCATCTTACCAAGTAAAGTCTTCTCACTTGATAGAACAGTACATCCAGGAGCAGCCATTTTTTTTTTCATCCTTGATACAAAGTAATACATTTCTGGAAAGATAATCTCCTCCAGGTTCCATGTACTCAACAAACATCTCTTGCTTCTTGATTGTTGGTTTAGATCTGCAGAGGTTCTCTTGATGTAAACATTCAAACCATTCTGAACCATATGGACTAACCACTTCAGATTCTTTCCTGCTATAATATATATCTGTCTCCATTCAGAGAAAACAGCAAGTCATAAAACCTAGAAGTCTAGGCTGATCTCATAAAAAGCTAAGCTGGTTGGGCCTATTTAGTATTTGGATGGGAAACCTCTAGAAAATCTCTGGGCTGTAGACTAGCATGAAAAGTCAAAAGGTATCCTAGAAGAAGGCAGTGGCAAACCTTGTTGCTAAGGTAACTACCAAAACTGCCAGTATAGCCACCAGAAATTGAGTATGACTTGAGAGACTGATTTTCTCTTTTTTTGCCATTCAAAAGGGTGTTCATTATCTGTAATGAAAAGCAACTCCATCAATATCCAGACTGCAGACTGATTGCTTTTGATTTTTTTATACAGTTGTCTCTGTGGACTGTAGTGGTTGCCATTATTATTTTCAGAAATCTTTCCTGCTAAGAAACACTGGATAGGCTATCTCTTTGCAGAATGCCTGACTGCTAAGAATGAAGCATATGAATGGGAAGTGACGCCCATCAGCTTTGCCTGAATGCATTAGTGTTCACCATTTTAACCTTGTCAGCATTTGCTGGTGTTATCTACTGGGAAGCTATGTCAGCAGTGCAATCCAATGCCTGAATTTATTCACAGAGAGAGAAAAAGCAAAAAGCATATTTATGAAGAAGTTACCTCTTGCCATTTTTAAATGGAAATCTGTTTATGTTAAAGATAAGCCAGCCTCTCTGAAATCAGAATCAAGATGTTAGGCTTTCCATGGAGGAGACAGTATCAGCCCTCAGATGGGTCAAAATACATTCATTTATACCCTAACAGATCCATTTCCCTTTGATTTGTTAAAAATAAGATAGTAATTAGCACACAATAGATTTTTATTAGTCTCTTATAAAAATGGTTAAGGATGTTTAAAGCATTAATCAGACATGGGAAGTATATGATAAATGAACAAAAGCAGTATAGGTTTTAGGTAGAAGGAAGCACTAATATGCTTTGATTAGCAGGTGAAATTGCACTAGAAAGACTGATAAACTACAAAGAATTCAAAAGTCAGTCATGTGTGTGATTATATCGTAGAGGCAGTTATGATAAATGAAAATTACTGTCTTAGTAATTTTATACAATTACTAATATCTGCACATACAGTAAACCTAATTGCCACAAAACTGAGCAAGATTTCCACAGTGCAAGTCTCTAGAAATAATTTTGCAAACAGAAATAAATGCACTGCAGTATATAGTCCCCAACCATAATTCACAAGGGAAATCTAAGAGCATGGATATATAAAGCCACAAAAAGATGGATGAATCAACAAAGTCATTACCCTTCTATCTCCTTTCTACTGTAGCTCATTGATAGAACATGTGTTGGAGGTTCCAGGTTCAACTTTTGACATCCTTATGTCATGGGAAAAATTCTTGCCTAAACTCTGGGATGGTCCCTCCCAGTTAGAGTTGACAACAGCAAGCTGAATGGACTGCCTAACTCAATAGGTGTGTTTATGTATCATGCATATTGTTTTTAACAATAGTGTGTTGAACAAGCTATAGTGATCTCATTGACATAACTATTAGCTGTAAACTTTCTTTACAGGCAATAGTGTCTGGATTCATGCATTGTACTGAGTCAGACCTAAACCATACTGTCACTTAGGCTCAATTTTTAAACTCCATAATCTTACAGCACATTCTTATGATAAAAGCTCTCCATGGTGCTCTCCAAGGACATGCAAGGCTCTTTCAGGGCTAAACCAACTTTGTAGTAAGATTAAAATTAGCTTACTGACCTTCCAGTTGTTCAAGCACTTTGCCAAAACAGGTACTTCCAAGTAAGCTATAATTTATTATTTTCAATATGTCTGAAGTTACCTTTTTCAAGAGCAGTTATATTACTGTTCACTTCTGAGTGGTTAGGAAACATTTAGTGTTTTTCATGAAATGGATTGTACATAATCCAAGAGATGGTTTGTATGCAGAACATTGCTATTTTGGCCTAATGTGGAACTATTCCAGTATTTCTAAGTATTTTTCTAAATCGTTGGACCTCCTGATAGGAAGGACTGTAGAATGTAAGTGAAGGTGAAGCAATATTGGAAGAATAATGTATTGGATACCAAAGGTGTTGTATCAGAAAAGATATATCTGCTCTGTAGCAGATCCCAAATACTGAATTTTATCATTGTCTTCATATTCTGAAAAAACTACATTTGGGTGAAAGTAGGAAGAATTATTTAACAAGATAGGGAGGACAAAAAAGAACGAGATAAACAGACATGTGCTGAAAATACAGACATTGATAGCCCAAAAATTCAGTTGACTTTTCTCATTAAAGTTACACTCTGGCCTGATTTGCACCTTGCACTAAATTTATTGGTAGTTTATTAAATCAATCACATTTTGTTAAATCACAGCTTATAAACCATAATGACTCTATTCACACATGTATACTGAGCCATTCTGAACAAGGCACCCTATGCCTTAGCACGATGTGTGAGCCCTTTAGAAATCTGAGGAAAAATATGGTCTGTTGTATTTCTATAACCATTGTTTGGTTTGTTTTTAGTTCCTAGACCTGACTGCAACAGTTGAGATGCTATGGAGTTTGAGATTTGTGTGCAGATAAACAAATAGGCACATAATCTTCATTCGATTGTCTAAATATTTCCTTCAGTTTGTCATCTCTGTTTTTCAGATGAGGTCCCTGATCTATTTTTCTCCCTGATTTTTCTCATAGCTTTTGTTTATGAACTTGAGAGGCTACTTCCAGAAATCTGCCTTCAGGCATAGAGTTGGAATCATCTCTCTTGAGGTCTAAATAATATCCAGAAGCAGGGACAGTATAATTTTCCCAGTTTCCAGGTGGTATCCTTTGTTTGAAAAGCTATCCCTGAAGTCTTCCTTCTGTTTGTAAAACTATTTAATTCATCCTCAGGAGTTTTTCATTGCTTGAGTCTGAATCATAACCTAATTGGCTAGAGTCCAGACCTTTATTGCAGGACTGAGTTATTGCCTAGACTGCACTTTATGGCTAAGATGCACCCTTTATACTTCTGCTTTACCTCCTGCATTTATATTAGTCTGGCTCTTTGTTTCCTGCCCCCGAGATGTAATTATTTTTCTCCTGGGTCTGTTTTGGAACAAAGTGTCCTATTTACTTGACAGTTGCACCCTGCTTTGACTTTCTGATAGCAGACACCCAATGCTGGTAACGTCGCCCCTTTGATATGATCCATTACTTTTTGACAGTCATCATTGACCTGTCTTTGACGGAGTTCCCTTGTTGCTTTGATCCTCCCCCATCTTTCAAAAAATTTGCATCCCAAAATGGATGTCCTGTTTTACATTGTTTCATTGCTTGCCTTTTGGGTGCCGATAACGCATAGCTTAACAAGCTATGATGAAGGTTGTACAGCAGCAATACAAAAAAGAAAACGTGTAACAAAAATAATGTGTCTGCTTGCTTATGTCTTCAGAAAAAGCAGGCGCATATATCTGCCTGAAAGCTGATCATGTAACTGCTCATTTCTGCTGCTGCATTTTGAGAGGTGTCCCTTGTAAAATCATATGTGAGAATTATTGTATCTTTTCCCCTTAATATTTGAGTTTTCCTGAAGCCTGATGGCAGTTAGGAGCCCAGCAGCAACAAAACAAATTGTCTAAAGCAATAAATATCACTATTCAGAATTCTGCCATTTCCAGCCAGTTCAGCAGAGATGGAGGATGGGAAGGAGCTGCAACACCGTTCTCTACGCAGTATCAGGCAAAAGCACTTTGCAATTTTGTCCCTAGTGTATCTTGAAGCATTAAATGAGGAAAATGCAGAATAACTTTCCATATAACTTTTCTTGTCGCTTTTTTGGGGGGGGGGAGTCATGTATCTCAGAGATTACATCCCTATTCGACAGGTGCAGAAAGACTAACAAGCAGTCTGAACTAAGGTAATCCCTCAACAAATTTTTTTTTAATGAAGGAGGCTGGTTAAATGTCAAGTGGTTGGGATGGATTTGCATTAAGTGTTATGGTGGAAAACTTGTTTCCCTTGTAAACAGAAAAGCAAGACTTGTTTTTCACCTCTAGAGAACTGATGGGACTGTGAGTTTAGTCCTTCTAGAATCGTAAACCAAAATCTCCCTGGTCTTCACTTCCAGTATAACAAAACATCCAAGTTTCTTCCTGGGATCTGGTTAGGCTTGATGGCTGTCCAGAAAAGCATTCCTTCCATTCTGTTTATGTATTTACTTTCTTTATATAACATCCCCTATTAAAAGTATTCTAGATAGGTGGTAAATGGAGCTTGTGAAAGAAGCAAAATGGAACTTCCCGTGTATTTCTCCCTACATCCCCCCTTTCTGCCCTTTTCTCTCAAGTCCATAATCAAACAAAGGTAAGTAACTTTCATATGTCCTTACCAAATTTCCCCCTCCTTTTATTTAGGGCAGTATTTTTAAGGAGTTTTATGACCTTCAGTAATTAAAAAATCCCGCCCCCCCCCCCCCCCCCCCC